TACAGACAACTTACTAGATGATAGCTTTGCTAAGCGGACCAAACATTTGACAAATTCATCGGTCACGCCAGACCACCCCGTCGTGATAGCCTTCGCTCCAAGCATGTCATCCCATATAGCCGCGAACCAACGTTGAGAGAGAGCTGACAGAACCGCGTCGTCTTCTGGTTGACGAGCCTTCTGTTTCGAGAGAAGGTATACGAAGCACTCGAGAAACGAGGAAACAAAGGCAGCAAGGCCCCGAGAGCCAGAGGCGTCAATACTCCCAGTATTCCACGCAGAGGAGACGACGGCGAGAAAAGCATCGATAGTGGCTTGCCTAATAGGAAGTATCTGGCATTTTGATCAGCCCCATCACTAACTAGATCCGCATGCTCACTCCATCAGGTAAGGTGGACAGTATGATGATGACGACCGGGTAGTTTCCAACAGGGTTTCCGTTGCAGCCGACTTTCAGCCATTCTAGGAAGCGAGAGAGAGTTGCTGGAGGTTGGGACTCTGTTTCGGGGGCGAAAGCTTTGGCGGTCTCGTCCTTATCTTCTCCTTCGACATAGGTCCAAGCCTCCGGATGATCTACAGAAGAAAGGCCTGAGGCAAAATCAAGATGGAGCAATGTGGCGTACCTTTCAGAAAGGCGAGTAGTCCTGGCCAAATCGCTGATTGTACGGGAGGTTCCCACTCTTCCCAGGCAAAGCGAAGTACTCGGAGCGACAGGCTATGGACATTATTCTGCACAAATCCTGGGTTTCAGTCAATTTTTGGTTGCGAACTAGATAACGCTCACGTTTTGCTCGGGGATTAGATATCAAGCCCTTGGAAAATAGCTCCCACAATGCGGTTCGAACAGGAGGTGCACGACTAGGCAGAAATTTGGACCGCTTCCCTCTTCTGCTCCATTGGCGGCCATTGAGGATATCCCAAAAATCGTTACTAGCGAGTAAGGCACTAAATGATTCGACAAAAGCTTCTTCTTGATCGTCGGCAGCAACATCCAGCCCTATATTTCTCATCAATTAATGCGCTGAACTGCACAATAGGCTCACTCATGAGCCAACTTAAAGCGTCGACCGCAGAGACAGCCTTGTTTATCATGGCAACACGCTCCTCCTCGCTTGACTCGTCGGATTCATCAGATGGATGAGCAGAGAGTAGGGTTTCCATGAACTCAATCAGGGTTGGCACATATTCGTCTAGACCATAAAATTCGTCGTTGAGGACTCTGAGCATGCTGCTCCAGCTTTCTTGCCCTCTGCTTCGAATGGTCTTGTCGGAATCAAACGCATTGAGGCACCACGACCCGATATAAGTTGGATTGGTAAGGTTGACAGGCGATACTAAAAAGGAAGAAGAGATGGCGGAAGATGTGAGAGAGGCTTGGACCGCGGTTGTGAGCGAGCGAATCCGCCGTGACGCATGCAGTACAAGTCGTGGGAATTGATAAGCCTGATATGGTGTCAGAATGGATCACACAATCAATCAAGCAAGGTTAATGCAACCAAAATGCTGCTCTCCATCGCCTTCTAGAAAAGGACTTACCCAAACTCCCAGAACCTCCTCACTGACACTCCCTCCCCCTTCTTGTGTGCCCTCAACCCAAGTCTTAAACTCCTCCATCCCCCTGTCCACTGTCCTCTCATCTCTCTTCCCCAACTTCTTAAGTACAATGTAAAGCTCCGGATCTTCCCTCTGCAAATTAGGCGCGAGTGAATCGACAGGATCGTAACCTTTTGGGCGAGTCGGTGGAACATACTTTTTCGGAGGGGGAGGAGCGGCAGACTTCTTGAGCTCCTTTTTGGAGGGCTTCTTTTTCTTTGCCAGCACTTCACCTTGCCCTCCTTTTGGTCCATGTGCTCCTGCTTGCGGTCCATCTCCCCCTGCAGCCCCCATTCCGTCACCCAACGTGTCTTCTCCCTCTCCCTCTCCCCCTTCATCAGCCTCAGAGATATCATCAATCGGAGTGGCAGCAGACGACGCCTTTTCCGCTTTGTGAGCAGCCTTCTTGGCGTGCTTTTTGCGGGTAGCAGACGAAGCAGAAGAACGCGTTTTCGGTGGCATTTGGGGCGATGAGTAGAGTGTTTCTGGGACGGCGCAGAGGTTTTTGTGCTGATAGCCGACTATTTAAATATCGCGACGCCAGGCAGTACAGGCAGTACGCTGGGTAGTGATTCGAGTTCGTTGATTCGTGGTGTTAGTTTGATCGATCGATCGGGAAGATGACACAACCGCAGCTGTTAAGCAAATGTCTTCAGCCAAAAAGGGCATTCATCATCAATAGTAAAGAAAATGGCTGGTGGAAGAATCGTGTACGGTTGGATTAGTACAGTTTGTGCGGGAGCATGGGAGTGGGAGGCAGTAACATGAGTGCTATTCAGCTAATTAGACAAATTAGATCTCCTCAATCTATACACAGTAGTGTCCATCTATCCGCAAGGTGACAGAGAGTTAGCTATCGAAGCGTTGATAACTTCGCTCCTCTTTTCCGACTGCTCGCTCATCTAAGCCCATCTCGTCCAACATGTCCTGACTTCTTCCGGGTCCCAAACTCCATTCTGCCGTCCCACGCTCCATCTTGCTAGCACTAGCGGTCATGGGCAGTTGCTCAGACGTCCCTGTACCAGCTACACCATACATGTAATCTTGCTGAGGCCGCCGGTGGGAACGCACGCCTCCTTTGGAGGCATCAAGGGCGAAAACATCGGCAAGATCGAACTTTTCCGCAGCTGTTTCGTTAAAAGGCCAAGTCAGACCGTTTGAAGAAGGACAGAAGGGTTACGCACTCTCAACGGCTCTTCGCTCTGTCTTCGATGATGTGTAAGCCTTTCCTCTGACTTTGTCAACGAAAAAATGCGAGGCGTAGTAAAAGTCGATTATGAAATCCGTATAACTGACAATTTGGAAAAGCGTCAGTTCTTTCTGCCAAAGGATAAAAACGGAGAGCATGCTTTTGCGAGTGCAGGAAGCTTTTCCAGAATGATGTCGGTGGCCGCTCATCCTGAATGACGAGTTTGTATTCATGGTAGTTGAAAGCCCAAAACTGCAGCAGAGAAAAGAGGACCATCTGGAGTGCAGGCGGAGTGAGTGATCGTCATGAGAGTAAGACGGAAAGAAGGAACGCACCTCGATCGTGGTACAGAGCGCGTTTAAACCATTGGAGATGTTACTGACAGTCCAGTATTCGGTCGCGGTGATGACGTTGTAATGCGCGAGAACAGTAAAGACGAATCCTTGATAGAAAGTAAGGAAGATTGACTGCGCTCAACATCGTATGACATAGTAGCTTGGGGGTTGAAAACAGGGACGCACAAGCTTGATGGTCAAGAACTTGGCGAGGGGACGGCGGCCTTCCAAGTCTTCCTTTGCAAGCCCGTATAGCACCAACTAAAAGGCATTTTAAGTCGAACGCGTTAGAAGTGTGGAACGCGACCTACTAGCCCGTAAAGAGCAACCGAGACAATGACGAAATCAATGGACAAGATATACTGCCAATTAATGGTCAGCCAATGTCTTTCACCAAAGTAAAGGAGCATACCACATGCGCGAAATGATAACTCATGCTCTCAACACAATAAACATTGAACGCCTCCGTGATTACGCTAGCCAGCGATTCCAGCGGTTTAAGAAAAACGAATTGTAGAACGCTCCACTTGATGGCCCAAAGGAAGTAAGGCTTGGAAGGACGATATCGCCAACAGCAGAAGGGGAGGGGAAGTGACTGTTTCTCTTTCTTCATCATTGCTTCTCGTTGTTCGATCGGAGACTGTCCGACGTAGAGGAGGATGAGGACGAGGAAGGCGGCGATCGCGAAGGCTACGAATTTGGCATCGGAATTCTGGGAACAGAGCAAAAGTGGAGGCACGAACCCTCGTATGTGTCACGCACGACCTCAAAATAGCTGTACAAGAGGTTAGCTTAGTTGGCTTGACCCAGTGGAAGAACTCACGTATATTCCCTGAAAAACCGATAGCCCAGGAACGATATGATTGCATATACTGGTGGCATGAGGAGTATTCGAATTACCTGCCGTTGTTCCATCCTACCAAGAAGGTAAAGTTAATTAACTTGACGGAATAACAGCGGCACAACTTTCCAAGCAGTAGGCATGCAAAAGGAAGTAGTTTACGGTCATGGTACCATAAACTATAGCTACTGTAGCTCTCTAGTGCTGTTATGTAGCGGCAGCTGTCGGCAGGGAATTGCCAGCCGGTGCTAGTAGTAAAGAGACACAGCTCAATCACTTAGCGGCGAAAGCTGCAATGTGCCATCAATATCCAGAGCTCGTTGTTGCGTGCAGGCAAGCGGGGGATGTAACGAGCCGAGCCGTATCGCACCATGTCCCTGAGGCTGAGCTCCGCCGGACTCTCGACTCCCAATATGCAATTTTCCAGTAACTCAAATCAGCTACTCACGGCTTCCTATAATTCCTGCAGTGACCCCAAATATTTACGCTAGAAATGATGGTGCTCAAGAGAGCACAACCACCCGCGATGGCCCATCCAATTCTGTGAGCATCCCAATGAATCCCACTCTCATCCCAAAAATCGGTTTGGTCTTTCTCGAGCGTGTTTTCAGAGGGACAAGTTTCTGCCATGGTGGATGAAGCTTTGCTTTGCGCAAAAGGACGCCGTTGCGGAAGCGTAAATGCGCTTGTGCTATTTTTGGAGATAGTAGTCGATCCAACTTGCAGCCAGGTTTTCTCAATGCAAACGTCAAACTCCCATCACTACTTCAGCAGGTAAAGACACTCATGAGCATCCGCGGGACCGTTGATGCAGTGGTAGCATGCTTGACTTCGGACTACGAGGAATCAAGATGTCGTGCGTTCGACCCGCACACGGTTCGTTTTTTTTTCTTCCTCGATATGAACTTTCTTTTGCGTAGATCCATTGCAGCTCAGGCCCTGTCAAAAGTCCTTTCCGTGATTTGTCGACATTTCCTTCGATTTTCTGACCTTTTTCCGTTGTGCTGGAATATGCAGGAAAGACCGAAAAGTAGGGCCTGGGTTGCTGATTATTCCAGAATTTCCTTCAAGCGAAAAACACATGAGAGCTTATTTTTGTAATTGAATAAGTTGCATAATCCATGAATTAGCCACAATTCCCTGTATTATCGACTCTCGCTCCCCTCTTCACCTCCTCCCCCACCACTTCTTTGACCAACTGTTAGGGCAAACACTATGTGCGGTCGCCGATGGGCAATGCATCTGTAGTGGAGGTAAACCTAAGAGAATAGTATGGCATGAGAAGACTAACCTGTAGTGGAGGTAAATACTCTGAGGTCATCACCACTACATCTCGATGTATATATACATAAGTAAAGGCACTGCCATAAACTGTAACATACGTTGCTTGAAACGTGTAAGATAGCTAGATCAGGAAAGTAATAAAGGGAATACTCGGAAATAAGATATACTGGGTAGTACTAGTGAGAAAGGACAATAAGGCGAAAATGGAGACGGTGCAGACCGGTGAAATGTATAAGGTTGCTGAGCGGCGATTCGTGTGAGAAATGGGAAAGCGGCGAACAGCGCAGACATGTGCAGAGCGGCGATGGGTAGGCACGTGATCTCATGACACGGTAAGGTGGGTCACGTGACCTCGGATGGTGCATTTCGGTAATGCGTAGTGGCAAGCCTGACACTGACCTCCAAACAACTTTGTCCCACATCTGTCACAACGCTTTGTTGCTCCTGTGGCTGTCATGGTGCAGTCAGAGTCGCGGTGCAAACAACTTGCATACTAGTAAGCAAAGGATAGAAACAAGACACACCTCCTTTTTGGATTGAACCAACTCTTACAATCTGGATATCCCACATCCATCCGTTTCCATGGTATTGTGCATCCATTTCCTGTTATTCGACTCGAGAGTGCCGGTGCATGTCACTATTAAAGTGAAACATTCAGTCTTATGCAGCTTGAAATGAAGCAGGAAGCAGGCAACTCACCACCTTCCTTGAGCCATGTTTGCCTGCATTATGCAAGGATGAAGGTGATGGGGAGGGTTAGCTCACTAAAGCTGAGTGGAAAACTTCAGGTTCGTCACCCTTTATTCCAAGGTGGGAAGCAAGCACTTACTGAAGAGTCCGATAACTTTTGATACCTGAACTTCGCCTCATTCAGGCTGTCACTCCTCCTGTTACTACGCTCAAACACCACCAAGCTGCCCACACAAATCCCTGCAGCAAGTTTCCTAGAAGAACAGGACATCATTGTTGTCGCATGGTAATACATGATGCGGGGAAAGGGGAAAGAGTAAGACATCTCTTACAGCAAGTCTTCATAGACCTCGCATGGCACCATGGAAAATGAGCGCAACTGAAGAATCCTGCACACGAAAAGGTAAAGGAAAATTTTTCACCAGCAGATTCCCGACCGCCAGTCAACCTTTCAACGTTTCAACTTGGAGAAGAAAAAAAGAGCATTGCAGTTTTGCAAAGCAAGCCCAGGAATTTCCTATATTTTACTTCTCTGCTCATTGCGGCTGCTTGTGGCTCGATTTATTTTCTGGTTGAAACTGAAAATGTGGGAAATTGGTTGGTATTTGTCAACATTTGCTGGAAAATGTGGAAAATGCAGGAAAGGCCTTTTGACAAGGGCTCAGGGCCAGGAAAATGCGAAGATACGGAGCTGATCCCAGAGCAATGCTAAATAATAATAATTCATTCATAAGCTATAACTTGGAATATGGAATCCATCTCATCTTTTCTCTTTAGATTCTTCTTCGCTTCGATAGTTTCTTCCTCGATATGACCTTTTATTTTTTTGTATAGATCCGTTGCAGCTCAGGCACAGGAAAATGCAAAGATACGGAGCAGCAATGCTAAATGATAATATTTTATTCATAAAGATATAACTTGGAATATGGAATCCATCTCATCTTTTTCTCTTTAGATTCTTCTTGGCTGCAGAGTTCCAGTCGTTGCTAATTCTGATGGCTCGTTTCGCTACAAATACCGCCTTTGCCTCCTGTAGCTCGAATTCTTTTGCTTTGAACCTCTCGTTCGCTGCAGCCTGGTTTTCGAAAGCTTCAAATGAATAGAAACTAATCTATTCATCAACACAAGCAAATAGACGGAAGAAAGGACTCACTCTTCAAATTCGGCGCCTGTCTTTGTCCGATCCACCATTTGCCTTGAGATATAATCCTGTACTTTTCGGTGGGTAAACGTATTGATACAGACGCTCTCGCCGACAAGGACGTCCGTGATCCAGTGAGCCGCTGCGCCGGCGAGAAGAAAGAGGACGTTGCCTGGTCACTGTTGAATTCGAAAGTCCACCCCTCCAATATCATCCATAGTGTCGCCCCCTTCGTAGCTGCCTGTGGTGCTGATGGATCAAGTGAGTCGAATGTATTGTTCCAGTCGACGTGACGAGAAGACAGATTGTTGAAGATAAGAACTAGTCCAGTGGAGAAAAGTATGCTTGAAGTTGAATCCCAAAGCGGAGCCTTGTATAACTTGGCGTGTTGGATAAATTTGAAGAGTTTGTTGGTTCTGAGGAAAGCGTGAGGAGAGATGGCAATATATGTTGCAGCTAAAATTTGGAGATGTGAAGCAAGTTGTTGAACGGCGAAACGCTTTATAGCATATCCAGGATAGCACTAATTAATTCAATATATTCAAGGAAAGGCTTGTTAAAAGAACTTGCTCTCTCCATCCTTGAAATATGCTGGCACAAGGAATAGGATCCTGATTCCTTTTGATTTTTTCATGCCAGAGAGCAATGTACTGCAAACCAACCAGCTGTCTTTGCCGCATCATTGCCTTATGGTACCGTATTCGTCTAGGCTTCTTATGTCTCTTATCCTTAGCCAGGTTCTTGTACATCAACCCTCCACCCATGTTCAACTTTTGAAGAGCAATGTATTTCCCATAAGCATGGTAGAAACGAGCAGTCTTTTGCCTTGTCCTTAAGGGAAAATGAGCACCAAATGGGATTGCCAGGCCTTTTTAAAGAAAACAGCCACTGGTTTGTTGTCCTGTGACCATATACAGGTGTCTGCAGCATTCCTCAACTGTGTTATTCTTCCTTAGTCTTTATGCCAGCTCAGAAGGGTCTGTGGCAGCCTGTGCATATTTCACAAGCTCTTCTATGGTCAAACTGACCCTGTAATTCTTCACTCTCTTGAGTGTGTACTCTTAACAAAGGGCTTGTCAGGCACTCTCAGCTCATTGTCAGTGGGCTTCTACGTTTCAACTTGGCTATTGAAAAGTCGTAGGCCAGTATACTGAGCAGCTTTGACTGAAAAGTTATGGTCTAGATCACCTTCTGGGCAGGATTCCAGTTCTTCTAAAGCACTGAAGACAACGAACAGAAGGGAAAAGAATGTAAGCGGCAAGTCAATTACTTGAACTAGGCAAAGGGGAACAGAAGGGTAAATGAGGCTGCACATATAGGTTCAACAGTTTTCTTCAACCTTTGTTCCCATACAACTTCTTCTCTACTGTCTGACAGTCTGCTGTCAACATTTTACCTCTCTTCGCAACCTTTTCTGACAGATTTCGAACTGGTAAAGATGTTAATTTAATTTTATTAAAATAATTAATAGTATTAATTAAATTATAAAAATTAGATACTGAATGATTATTAATATTTATATTTGTAATTAGTAATAATAATATATTAACTTATTTAGAAACTAAAGACGGTAATAAATTAATAAATAAATATTTCTGCAATTAAATTTAGATAATAAAAATGAAATAATAAAACGTTATTTATCATTATTTAGATATCCTCCAAAAACTCAGTTTTTATTTTCATATTTTCATAATTAGGCTTCACCACTATTCCCATTATATTAGGACTATAAATATTTATATCTTTAAATAAAGTAATATATTCAGGATTGATATCTAACTTTAATTTATAATCATCATTTTTTATATATCAATTATATGGTTCATCTATTAAAAAATTGAATATATAATCCAATTTAAAAATAATGTCATCATTAATATTATATTGATTTTTAAGAATATGTTATATCATTATTTTTAGCCATCTTTTGAACAATATCAATACCTAATATATATCTTAAATTTAATATATTATTTTTTATACAATTAGAATAAATAAAAACAAATTATGAATATAACGTACATCAAGTATATAAATATTTATCTAAAATACCTGTCAGGCTTGCCCCTACACATTATCGAAATGCACCAACCTAAGTCACATGACCTACCTTCCTATTCCATTAGATCATGTATCTACCCATCGGCGCTCTGCACACACCCACACTCTCTGCCACTTTCCCCTTACTCATACGAATCACCGCTCACTAAACCTTACATTAATATATTTTAATTCACTTATATTCCCCATAGGATGTGTCCTAGAAAAAATCTAGGAATTCCTTTTATGTAGCAATAGGAAATTTTGGTATATGTATATGTATATGTATTTGTTTTATTATCATATTTATGTATTATAAACTATTTAGTATCCTTTATTTATAGATGTAGATTTTACATCTTTGAGAAAAATATAATTTGTTGCCTTTTCATTTTTATAATTTTTGAGTTGTTTTTCTTTTTATTTTGTTTATTAAATTTTGTTTTATATATTTATTATAAATATATAAAAATTATATAACTAAAATTTCTATGTAACTTCTTTTCTCATATTTTTTGTTCTTTTTCATATTGTTTTTGTTCTTTTCTCATAAGGATGTGTATCAAATTTCATGTTAAAAAAGGGGTTTTTTAAAGAATTCAATAATTATATTTACTATACATTGGTATAGGGGGTTATATCCAATAGATACTTATTGGGTTGTATACCCCCAATGCTGATGAGCTTGTCGAGGAGTTCTATCACGAAGCATACTTTTAAATG